AACAAGAATTGTTCCTATTTTAGCAGACTTCCTTCTGGTCTTCTATGTATTTTCAAAATACTCTGGATTACTCTGCATATTTCAATGTAAACTGACTGTCCTTCACTCAGAGCTAGTATTTTCTATTCATTACTAGTAAATGGCAACTTAATATTCTGAGTACAGCATAGAATATATCATTGAAAACTATCTCCAATTCCAGTTAGAAGGAACAGGGCGAGTACATATGGAGGAGGACAAAAGCGTAGGATGTATCTGGACACATTTGGCTAGTGTCCCTTATGACACATATGGGCCACTTAATAGAATGCCAGTCATTTGGCTGCAGGGTCTCTTAGAATATAGAGATGTTTCCATTGTGAAAAACCAGAAACATGATCTTGGCAATTTGAAGTTTGGGACAGATGATCAAGTGTAGAGAGAACTGGGGACTCAATTCTTAAATTTGGTGCATTAGAACTGCCTCGGCAGAATTAGAACAAAGGGGAAACACACACACACACACACACACACACACAAACCCAGAACAGATTCCTGAGTGAATCCTAGTGGTACCTATGTTTAAACACCAAGTTGGGAAACCATGAAAAAGGGTTAGGTTCGGAGAGTAAGAACTAATCTGAATTTATCCCTACATTCTCCAATGCCCAATACTCAAGCAGACACCAAAACAGGTTTGAATGAACCCTACATCAACCACCACCTTGCCTGAAGAGATCCAGTGGGAGTTGAGATCATTCTATCACATGGCTGTCAGGTTAATGCGACGGGTTGTTGAGAGTCAGTGGGAAAGGAAATGAAGAATGGAGATCTCTAGCCTAAGATTTGAGAGGCATTTATCTTATCTCTGAATCTGGTAGATACAATGAAATCAGGACCCAAGCAGATGGACCAACACAGAACACCCCACCTAAAATAAACGACCTTTTGCCAAGGTGGGAGGAAATAGGGGATGTGGTTCAGTTCCCCAGAGACCAAAGAATTCCTGTAACTAAACTGTATTGCATTCTGTGTATATACAATTTTACTTATCCATTCGCCCGCTGGGACATTTTCTATTTTCAGTTATCATGAAATGCTATAAACATTTGCATACAAACATGTCATAACACCTTAGGTTTTCATTTCTCCTGGGTTGGGTCATGATTTTCTATGCAAAATGTCATGACTTTCCCAAAGACCCCAGGGTATGACAATAGCATTTAAGTGGATTATTTATGTAACTAAAACTAAGCCACAGTAATCAATGTAGAATGCAAACATAAACTTGGGTTATCTTAATCCTACTCTAAGCCATCTCACTTTAAAATTTAGGCAATGTTTAGCACGCTTAATTTATGTAATGGGGACCTTGACCTATCTCTAGATTCCAATGTCACTTCAATTGGCCTTCTGCCACTCCTGTTCCACGTAGCAATCCTCACTACCTCTTTCCACGATGGACTAAATTCAGATTCAACTACTTTCCTCTTTTCCATCTTCAAAATCAATATGGCAAATTACGTTTCAAAATCCTGCCCTGAATATTTAGGCCTATTTTGAGGTCATGACTGAACATGGTTAACCGTCCAGAACCAAATATTTCCTTGCAATGATACTAATTAATCAAGCCTACAAACCTAGAAATGTGCAACAAGCTGAACACACGGTATTCAAATTGCCAGTATTTGGCCATTTTGGACCCAAGAACAAAATACCTACTTAATACAGTTCAGCTAATGCCTGCCTTCCAGGTCAACGTCTATGCAATGACATTCATACCAACTGTTAACTGGTAGTGGCTGCCTGCAGCAGCAGTGTGTGCAAACAATGGATGTGTCACCCTTACCCAAAACACATTCCTGATTCCTAAAGAGACACTTAGCACTTGGAAGACTACTTTCACCCAATCCATTCCTCCCTGTTCAACTCCCTCGCATTAATACGCATTAATACTTCAAAAGGACGTGCCCATATCGTTGCTTAGAATATGAATTTGTAGCACATACTGCACTGCACATCAGTGGGGCATTCTATTTTCATCCATTACCAAAACCCTGTTTCATTGTGCTCCAGACTAATACCACCTTCGTCTTTGATTATCCCAGTAATTTCATCCCCAAAAAGTACCTCAAAAAGAAAAGGCACCAGACAACCAAAAAATTACATTTTACAGTTCTTCAGGCAAAAGCACAACTTTATTTTCACCTCTAAAAATAAACCACAATTGACAACAACAAAGGAGACTGTGCGGTTCAACTTTTTATTTTAATAAAATCAGAATATGCACAGCACATGCAGTGCTAGCATCTAAACTAATACAATAAGCAACTACTAAAGCTACAGTGACTTGAAGTTCAATCTTTACATTCAGCAAGTTTAAATCCATTCTTATATGATTTTTGAAACCTTATTTATTAACTGAAAATATTGCTTGCTGATAAAACTTGCTCAAATGCTATCGCTGAATGTACAAGTCACTGATTATGCCAATACAACAAAGATAACCACATGTTTGAGGATTGCAATGTGCCAGACATTCACTGAAAAAAAAAAAATACACACAACTAAACAAAACTCACACAACAAACATCTGAGAATCTGGACACTTCATATCAGTGTTTTGAAGTGTTTCATTAATATCTTAAGACAAGTGTATCAAAACCTTGGCATGTTTTTAATTTCAAGTCGCCAATTTTGTTTTTACTAACATCAGAAAGTTATGGCTACACTGCCAATGCCGGGTCTGCTTAATTTGACTTAAGAGTTTAATATGACTTAACATTAAAAGCTCACACTACCCCGAAATATATAATTTCACGCATACGGTGACATTCAACATTCAAGTGCCAGTGTTTTTGTACTGTCTTTTGGTCAAGTTTCTTTAAACTTTCAAAGAATCACTTTTAGGCTTACAAAAATAAATATTTGTCAAAATGTTCAATAAATATTACATAAAACTAAAAGCAAAAAGTATCTAGAAATCTGTCGTGTGCAAATAGTTTTCTTCCCAACTATCATTCCCATGGTCCCAAATAAATTTTAGAATCTAGTCCCATCCCCTTCCTAGACAAGCTGCGTTCAACAATCTCCAAGAGACAAAATAAGATTGGAAGTTTTAGGACACGCACACAAGACATATATATAAAATTCTCTGAATGTGCAATAAAAGAAGTACTTTGTAAAAAGTTATGGGCAAAATGTACAAGGGCCTAAACCTAGACTAATTGAAATAGCACCATAACAAATGACCTCAATACTGTCAAGTGCACCTACTTAATAAAAGTTTTAGAACAAGGCACAATACACTTGAAAATCTATTGCACTTTAGGAAATTTTTGCCGTCTTCCTATGCCACTGTAAAAAGATTGAGCGTTTTGATCACCGCATTCTGGCCACGAAATTAGCACAGAATTCAAAGTGGCAGAGGCATTTTAGTGGTGGACAATGCTCATCTTTGGCCAGATTTAGCATAAACAGACTATAAATACAATGGAAACCTATGCAACTAAAACTGACTACAACTGCACTGTAGAGCAGAACTGACACCTTGTGCAGTTATGTACATATTTCCAACCTGTGTGATCTCAAAGATTTCAGTTTGTTACTCTTCTGGAGCCATTTTTACAAAGTCTATAGTAAGCCAGTTTAACATCTCAACGCAGCTTGAACAGAGTAATGTGAATCGGCATTTAAAATAAAGCCTGCTGCATAATTCTTCCTGTTCATACCCTCTTGACCAAAAAACATCAACACTAGCATGCGTTATTAGACCAAAAATCATCCAGGGCCCTAATGAGGGCTGGTCATTGCTGTGGTCAGCCATTCTACCATTTCAATTTTTCATTTATGGCAGGCATTTAAAAAGTCTAAGTAGATGAATTCTCCTAAAAACCTATTTCAAGTTATCAGACCTTTAAACTTTCCCTGTAATAATATATGCCCACATTTGGCTAGCTCATCGTTAATGATCTGCCTAAACATTGAAAGAGGAATTGCTGTATTTACTTGCATTAACTTTGAAAACAGTGCTTCGAATGTATGCATGTATTCATACATCACCTCATCATGACTGGAATGGCTTGTTTAAAGACTATCAGGTTCTAAATACCTATCCAGGATAGAGTGAGCAAATCAGAACTTTAACTTAATACAGTTTGCCACATTAGAAACTAATTCCATTAATATGCTTCAAGACATTTGTTGTTTGTTTTCCCCCAATCTGCAAGTATCGAAAAGCCCTAATGCAGGCTACCGCTTAAGTTTTTTCCTTATAATATTTATGGATGAATCGATGATTCCTGTTAAGTTGTATCACACCTGTGTGCCAAGGTTTGATTTTAGCCCAAGTTCAGTAAATTTATTTTGTCAAAACAATTGATATATCTTGAGCATTACTGAGCCAACAGGACATCAAAATAAAAAGTTGTCTAAAGAAAAAGGCACAGTACATTAACAAACAAATGATCCTCAGTCACAAAATTATAAATGCAGTTTGGGATGGGGGTAGGCGGGAGGGGAGTTAATCCAAACTACAGCAATGAAGTCTTCAAATCACCTTCCGAACAGGGCTGCTGATTGTTCCTTTCATCTCTTCTTGTGACCTTGAGCTCCCTTAAAAAAAAAATTTCAGTGGAGAATCACAGCTGGTAATGTACTGCGAGTTCTTGAAGCTACACAAGGTATAGTCTGGCTAAGTTACATGTGGTTTCCATATTAGCTTGTTTGGCAGGGTGACCTACTGCAAAGCAGGCTCAGTTACCCCACCAGTCAACCCCCTGGGAGTTATAATTTCCTCCATATCCATCACTGTTGTAAAAGCCTCCATAGCCACCTAATGAGAGATTAAACAAAAAAAAAAAAAGAAAATTAATTAAGGAGTCAGTTGTCAAGTACAATCACTCTCCCCTTAACCTTAATGAACCGTTCTGTAGCGCTCCACTTCCCCAATGACTTTAACGCTTTGAAAAGCAAGACAAGAAGTCCTTCCCAAAGATGTGAAGTTAAAAAACGAGCACTACCTCCACCAAATCCTCTGCTGCTGCCGTGGCCACCTCCACCCCC